CTGTTCCACTTTATGATGTCATGTGGTAATACAGGAAGTGCTCCACTGCATTTTTAAACACACCTTCACTAGAATCATCTGGATAATTTCAGCCTTGGAATTGGCAATCTCTACTAAACTAAAGGTAAAAGGAGCTGTTCAAACTACCATTTCATGAAATCACAATGTGGAAAAGGGCAACTTTGGAGATGCAAACAGACTAATCTTGCAGGTGTACTCAGACTTGTCTGAATGAAATAAAACACAACTCCAGGTTTGTTTTTGAGGAAGTAACATCATTCTAAGGGGCCGTCCACACAACAACGCCTTTTGGTCAAAACAGAGAAGTTCGTATTCGTTTTGGTCTTTCCTCCACATGGAGCTGGCGTTTCGGCCGGCGAAAACTGAGTTTTTTGAGAACAGGTTCCAGAGTGGAGAAATCTGAGAATGCCGACGTCACGTTGTCATGTGGACAAGCAAACTGCAGCTTTTGGAAAACGATTACATCACGATTCCGTCATCGCCAGGGTCCTCTAATGCAGCGAAGCCCGCAGCCCTCGAATTCGCCTCCGCTCACCGCAAGAGTGTGGCCGAAATGGGACAGGTGTAGCCTACTGAGCCACTCCCATCACCCAGCAGCCGAGACACGCTGCTAGCTCCAATACTAACAACACACACCATAGAATATGCACACGGATCAATAACAAAGACTACGTTTACACTGAAACGAATCCGCGTATCACCATATCAGAAACGATCTGCGTCCGCAAGCCTTCCCTATCCACACAGCTTTGAGCATATTTGTTTGTTTTACAGAAACAAAGCTTTAAACCACATGGCTAATTTGTATAAACTCAGCGCTTAAAAAACAGCTCTCTATTATGCACTGATGCAGTTCAGCTTCTGTCGGACTAGAGGACACGACTCAGTGGAATATATGAGTTCTTTCTGTGACTTATGTTTAACTTTTGCAAAACAAAACAGCTATATTTCTGGGATACATCTAAAATAGGCTAAATTACCTTAAAGTTAAAAAACGGTGATGAGACAAGCATCATTAAACATTATTATCATTGTTAACAGCGCCACATACAGGTGTGGCATATGTATTACCTTGTTTTCACTCAGTGCTCCGTTGTTGTGGACGTGAATATTTACTGATCCGGTACGTGTGTGGACGCAAATTTTTTTCAGCCCGCAAAGAAAAAAATCCAGGAGGGTTGTCGTGTGGACGTAGTCTAACATGGCTAAAAGCTCACAAGTGTCCATTTTGCGTAATATAGGCCCTTCAAGTACTGTATGTAATTATTTCAGAGCTAATCGGTGAAAACTAAAGATTTAATGGGAGTGAAAGTAAATGGGGTGACACGGGGCATGTTTAAATGGCCGTGCCCTCGTTTAATTTCATGTATAAATTAGGTTATAAGTTGTCTAAAAAATATCTCATTATATTAAAACAAAAGCAAGAATTGTTGTGAATTGTTCGTATGAAACAGATGTAGCTGGTGGGGCCGCAGCGTCACTGACTCGGATTGGAAACGCATTTATTTGTTATGGAGCTGAAATTGAATGGCAGCAGGTCAGAACTGTGAAAAAGTGTGTTTGATTTTAACATGGAGGCCACAGAGGAGACTGAGGAGAGATGTAATAAGGCAGAGCTCAGACAGACTGGTGTAAACAAGAGGGAGAGGGGAAGGGATGGAGAGATGAGGGCTGGAGAGATGAAGGGAGGTCAGAGGAAGGAGAGAGAGAGGGAGGAAAATAAAGAAGAGAGGAAATGAGAAGGGGGAGAGATGAAGAACAGGGAGCAGAGACGAAGAGAGATGAGGGAGAGAAAGAGAAAAAAGGGGAAGCCAGAGGAAGGGTGGAGAGATTAGGGGAGGAGAGAGTGAAAGAAAGGGACGGATGAGGGGACTGTGGAACATTCCAGGCAGAGCAACAACATCTCCATCGAAACAAGCAGGTGATGGACCCCTAACCAAAAAGTTACACAATGTACCTTTAACATAACTCCCTCTCCCTTCATCTGCGTGAGTTTTCCCAAAACCAAAAAGTCCACTAAGGCTCCTGGTATTCCCATCCCAGGACTAACCAAACCCAGCCCTGCTTCGCTTCAGAAATTTGACAAAATCAGGACCTGGCAAAGAGAGAAGTACCAGAACTAAGCCAAGTAAGGGCCTGTTTACATGTGAACGCTTGCGGGTAAAAACGGCACTATTTTATCAGAAATGCCTTTCGTTTAGACAGTGACAGCGTTTTTGGGGCTTAAAAATGCAAAAATCTGAAACCACCCTCCAGAGTGGAAAAGTTGAATATGCTCCGCTGTTGCGTTTCCGTCTACACTGCCAAAGACGCTAAACTCTGGTCAGATCTGCTCACGTCACGCACGCGTTTATGTCACATACATCACCACCTAGTCGCCTGGCATGCATACACAATCCAATTCCACACACTTTTGCGTCACCGTCATCACGCAGATATCCTTTCGAAAATGCTCGTCTAAATAAAAATAAAAAGTGAAGACACGACCCCACTTTTGCGTCTTCTGTTCAGACCATCATCATATAAACGTAGCCTGAAATGCAAAAATAAGACATACATTAAGCCGTATTTAAAGGTGCACTGTGCAAATAATGGCAGTGTTAAGATTTTCTGTTGTAACTTTAAAGCTGCACTGTGGAACTTTTCACCTGCTTGCTTCTATGGATATGTCCTTGCTCTTACTGGAATTTTCCACAGTATGACATTAAACAACTCGACCTTATATTTATTCATTCACAGGTGCAGGTTTTATAGCTCAAAAATACCTAGAAAAACAGGCATTTTGACTGTGAGCGGGCTTGCCTCTCCACAGACCTGACATGTAACTTGGTCTGGTTCGGTCTCCATGAAGATAGAAAGGTTGGCATTTCCATACTGTGAAACATTCTAGACAAAGCAGACTGACCCTCAACCAGAAAAGTTACACAATGCAGCTTTAAGTGTTTACCATCAGAAATAAACCCAAGCTTCAGTCTGAGAAATGATGTCTAAATTATACAAACTTTTCAGTAATCATAACATTCTTTTCCTTTTCAAGTCTTCGTGCTTTTTTTTTTTTTCTTCTTCTTCTTTCACGAAATTACTGCAATTTAGTCTGTTTTAAGTTTCTATAATTGTGCTGCGTGTCCTTTTATAGTTATACAAACAGCGTTACGAATGTGGAAGTATTAAACATTTAAAAACTGAGCAGAGAATCCTATTTTAAGTTTAATTACTCTAACTGAAAGAAGAGCGAAAGATAAAGGTTTTCAAAGTGTGATTTTGATTTTGTAAGTTTTTAATTACTTCACCACAGAGTAAAGATAGCCACTGATTACACCATTGTTCTTTTAAGGGCTGTAATTCAGAGAGGGACCGAGGGAAGTGTCTGAATGTCGATGGGACCATAATTTTAGCAGAAAATACTTGACCTTAGTTTTGAAAGACCAAATTTTCTTATTACTTTATTGTTCTTTAGTGAAAAACGAGCGTGTCGAATTTTAGTTAAATCTACTATGAGCAGTTTTTGGTACTTTTATGTTGATTGAAGTCCAGTATTACATAAAATTGACTCTTTAAACTTTAAGCCATGTAATAATGCTGTTACCTCATCCAAAATACACCTGGAGTTGTTTTGTTTCATTCTCACATGTTTGAGTAACCTTTTATTATTAGTCTGTCTACATCTCCAAAGCTCAAAATGCTCAGTTCCACCTTGTGATGTCATGAAGCGGTAGTTTTCAAGTCAGCACCTCCCTATAACCTTTAATTCAGTAGAGGTTGGGAATTCCAGGGCTGAAATGATCCAAATGATTCTAGTGAAGGTGTATTGAGAGCACAGGATGTTTTCTGTCTTAGTGTTTTCTGTCTTAGACCCCGTTTACACTGAAACGAATCCGCGCATCACCGTATTGGAAACTATCTGCGTCCACACACGTCATTTCTATATCCTCAATTCTTTCCACAGCTTCCACACAGCTTTGAGCGTATGTGTTTACGTTTAACAGAAACACAACTTAAAACCGCATGGCTAATTTGCATAAACCGAGCGCTCAAGAAACAGTTCACTGTTGTGCACTGATGTGGTTCAGCTTCTGACTGACTAAAGGACACGACAAATATGAGTGTTCTTTTTGTGACAGAGGGGTGTTCTGCTGATGGTGAGTCTGTTCTGTGCTTCTGTCGTGTTGGAGATGATTAATGTGAAAGTTTTCGGAAATTATACATCTGCAGGTCGTACACATAGACCGTATATATGAATATATTCTAGCCTCTTAGCGTTTTGACGGTGAATTACTTCGTGGTACGTAGACCTACATCAGCGTATCAGTGTTTTCAGGCGTCCACACAGTGCCGGATCAGATCTGTGCTCAGATCAATTTGTGGGAGCTGGCAACACCAGATCGTTCCGTCTCTGGAGCCATTTTCAGTCGTATTAGTGTGGACGAACACTCGGCAACGAAACGAACAACAAAAACGGCTTGAATGCGTACTAGTGTGGATGGGGCCTAAGAGAAGAACTCAACCTAACTATGCAGGGTTTGTGCGTTAAGCTTGTGTGAATGAAACAAAACACAACTGTTGTATGCTGTATGCTTTTGATGAGGAAATTGTAACATAGATCAGAAAATAGAGTGTAATATGGACCCTTTAAAGCCTTAAAAATGTGAAAAACAGAACAGAATGTGAAAAAAATTGAAGAACCGGACAGAAAATGTGAAAAACAGAACAGAAAGTCTATCAGTGTTCCAAAGTTCTTCCTGATTTATCTTGTGCATTCAGGGCGTTCTGATTATTCACTATGATGAGTTTATAAGCATTTTTCACAACCTTCAGAGACCAGTGCAACTAACATGCTAATGGTGTACTTCTTGCTGACTTATTTGAACAAGAGCTGCTTTTACAATATATCTGGTAAATGGCTTCTGTGAGTCAGGCCTGTATAATAATAATAATTATTGTACTTTAATGTTATAATTGTTTTGTGTTTCTCTCTGCAGGATGTGGATGCCTCTGAAATCAAAGTCCAAGTTTGTGTTTACGCATTTGACCTGCTCTACCTGAACGGAGAGGTGAGTCCGGTTACCCTTCCTCCCTCTCCTCTCCTCCCCATAGCCTCATCCTCTCCTCCACTCCTTTTCTCCTTTCACTCTCCACCCCTATCTCCCCTGCCTTTATTTTTCTCACCCTTCCTCTCTTCTCCCCTCTCCTCTTCCCTCCTACCCCTTTCTCCCAAATCTTTCTAGCCTCCCTCTTTCTTCTTCCTCTTTCCTCCCCCTCTGCCTCAACTCACCCATATCTCTTCTTTTACCTCTCTTCCATCTCCCTTTTTCTAACTCCTTCTCTCCCTCCTCTTCTTTCCCTCTCCTTCTTCCCAGTCTCCCCCTTCTTCTCCAGTCTTTACCCCTCGCTGTCTCTGTCCTTCTTCCTCCCTTCTTCTCTCCCTGTCTTCCTGTCTCCTACTCACCCCTTCCTTCCCTCTCTTTATTTTCCTCTCCATTCTCCGCACTCCTCCGTTCTCCCTCTCCGTTTTTATCTCCCCCTCTCCTTCCCCGTCTCCCAGCTCTCTCTCCCACTTTCCCTTCTCTCCTTATTTCGTACTCTTTTCTTCATGCTCCCTCCTCTCCTTCTCTCCTCTCTGTCTCTCCTCTCTCTCCTCTCTTCCTCTCCCCTCCCCCCTCCTACCCTCTTCTCTTACATCCTTCTAGCCTCCCTCTTTCTGCCTACTCTTCCCCCTCTTCTCTCTCTCCTCTTTCCCTCTCCCCTTCCATCCGTCGTCACCCATATCTCTTATTTTACCTCTGTTCCCTCTCCCCGTCTCCCTTCTTCCAACTCCTCCTCTTCTATTCTTTCCCTCTCCTTCTCTCCATTCTCCCCCATCCTTCTCGTCTTTACCCCTCTCTTTCTCTATCCTCGTTTCACCCCTCTCTACCCCTCTTCCTCTCTCTTCTCCTCCTCTCCTCTCCCAATCTTTCTCTCCTTTCTCTGTACTCTTCCTCTCCTCCCTCCCCCTCCCTTCCTCCTCCCCTCCCTCTCTCCTGTTTATTGTTTACAGCCCTCCTCTCTCTGTCGTTCCGATGAGAGGAGATCCGTTGGTGAATGACAATGACTCAGTTTGAAGCAGGCTGATTGTAGCTCTCATTTAAATGCCTATGCAGTGTGAGCAGCGAGAGAGACAGCTGCTCCAAACACGTCTAAAAACCATCCACCCACCTCCACCCAAACCAGCAAATATTATACAAAAGACATGCACTCAACCAACCTGTGACTCAAAACTCTGCATACACACTCCTTATGACTGCATTGTGCTGTATTTAGTGTCAGTTTTTTGGGATCTGATACCGATACCGCGGTGTCTGAAGAAGTAGACTCAAGCTGCTCAGTTGCGTACAGTTTAAAAGCAAAATATAAAAGGTGTCTCCAAAGAAAATCTGTAAGAAAATTAGATTTTTAGGACTTGAAGTATTAGGCAAATGTGTAATATAATTTTGAATATTTTGTGTATTGTTCAAAATGTTTTAAACTCTCAAAAAGTAGAGCAATTCTTAACTTAATTTCCACTACTTCTCAACGCTAAAACTACCAGAGGAGAGGGTCAAAGGAGAAGAGGATGCAGAGGAGAGAGTCAGGTGGAGTAGAGGATGAAGAGGAAAGGGTAAAAGGAGTGGAGGATGCAGAGGGAGGGGTCAGAGAATCAGGAAAGGGTTAGAGGAACAGAAGATGCAGAGGAGGGGAGATGATGATGCAGAGGAGAAAGAGAAGAGTCCGATAGAGAAGGGGAGAGGGTAAGATAGAGTAGAGGATGCATAGGAGAGGGTTAGATTGAGCAGAGGAGCGGGTCAGATAGAGCAGAGGAGAAGGTTAGAGGAGAAGAGGCAGATAGAGAATGGGAGAGGGTAAGATGCAGAGGAGAGCAGAAGATGATGCAGAAGAGTAGGTCAGAGGGAGCTGAGGATGAAAAGGAGAGCGTCACATGGAGCAGAGGATGTGGAGGAGAGGGTCAGAGAATCAGAGGAAAGGGTTAGAGGAGCAGAAGATGCAGAGGAGGGAAGATGATGATGTAGAGGAGAGAGTTAGAGGGGAAGAGTAGAGGATCAGATGGAGAAGGGGAGAGGGTAAGATGCAGAGGGTCAGAGAGGTCAGAGGAAGCTGAGGATGGAGAGAATGCAGAGGGTCAGAGGATGAAGAGAATGCAGAGGGTCAGAGGATGGAGAGAATGCAGAGGGTCAGAGGTTGAAGAGGATGCGAAGGAGAGGGTCAAATGGAGCAGAGGATGTGGAGGAATGGGTCAAAGGAGCAGGCGAGGCAGAGGAGAGGGTCTGATGGACCAGATTATGAAGAGGAGAGGGTCAGAAAATCAGAGGAAAGGGTTAGAGGAACAGAAGATGCAGAGGAGGGGAGATGATGATGCAAAGGAGAGGGTTAGAGGAGAAGAGTAAAGGGTCAGATGGAGAAGGGGAGAGGGTAAAATGCGGAGGAGAGCAGAAGACGATGCAGAGAAGCGGGTCAGAGAGAGGTGAGGATGAAAAGGAGAGGGTCACATGGAGCAGAGGTTGCAGAGGAGAGGGTCAGATGAAGTAGAGGATGCAGGAGAGAGGTTTCAGAGAATCAGAGGAAAGGGTTAGAGGAACAGAAGATGCAGAGGAGAGGGTTAGAGGAGAAGAGTAGAGGGTCAGATGGAGTAGAGGATGCTGAGGAGAGGTTCGGAAAATCAGAGGAAAGTGTTAGAGGAACAGAAGATGCAGAGGAGGGGAGATGATGATGCAAAGGAGAGGGTTAGAGGAGAAGAGTAAAGGGTCAGATGGAGAAGGGGAGAGGGTAAAATGCAGAGGAGCGGGTTAGAGAGAGGTGAGGATGAAAAGGAGAGGGTTACATGGAGCAGAGGAAAGGTCAGAGGAGAGATCAGAGGGTAAGATGGAGCAGAGGATGCAGAGGAGAGGTCAGAAGGTCAGAGGAGCAGAGGATGTGCAGTGAGAGGGTCAGCTGGAGCAGAGGATGGAGTGGTCAGAGGAGCAGAGGCTGCAGACCGTTCTCATAATAGCCTGTAATAATGTGAAGTCTATTCTCCAAATATTATGTCCTTTATGCAAATCCAAATGAAGTTGTCGGCAGGTCCTGGAAGGTCTCTAGTTTAAAAAGCAACTCTTCAGCATTTCCTCATTGAATTGCTAAAAGTCAGACGATGCAAATGAGGCTGGATTTCCATAGACCTCGGTAATAATAGTTTTCCCAATTGACCAAAAGTAATTGACTCTATACAGTGGTCCCATTTGAGTGGTTTGGGGCCTAATAGGACTCTTTATGTAAATCTGACGCACTAATTTGTTGCAACTTAAGATGCTGATTTTCTGTATTGTTTATTTTCGAATATTAATTTAACGTCGTTGCTGAAATGGGGCCGCACTGTTGTAATCATCTTTTTCACTTTATTTGGTGAAAAGTTTAAATAGTAGAGACAGTTTTTTCAGTTCCAGTACTAATATGGATACTTTGGTTTTAAAGGTGCATTGTGAAACTTTTCTGGAGGAGGGTTTTCTCCATGGAGATGTTATTGCTTTGACTGGAATGTTTCACAGTATGGCTCAGTTCAGGTCAGATCTGTGAAGAGGCGACCCGCTCACTGTCAGAATGCCTGTTTTTTCTAGGTAATATTGAGCTATAAAACCACCTGTAATTACCTGGTCCCCAAAGGATTGACCAGGTTTTGTATTCACCCTGTGTGCTTGTGTGTGTCCGTGTGTCTGTCCACCCGCAATAATTCAGCCATTTATGCACCAAATTTGGTACGTGGGTCAAGCCCCTGTGCCAGATGCCGCAAAAAAAGTTTGGTGACGATCCAAGGTCATTTGAGGTCACACGGGTCACTTGAAAGGTCACGCGATTATAAAGGATAGGCAATTTCTGCAAATTCTGAACCATCTGCAGCCTAAAATATTCACCCAATCATCACACAAGTTGGCACACACATAACCAGGGTAAACTGGATGTTACAGGTTGAAACCGGTCAAGGTCACTTGAAGGTCAAGGTAACCAAGGTCAAAAATGCATTTTTGATCATAAGTCCGCGAAGGATCGAGCTAGAGCAACGGGAGTGTCTCAAAATCTCAGAAAAATTATTATCTATTTATAATTCTATGCATTTGTATAGTAAAATATTAATAGTTTTCCAGATAATCACTAATTATAACAGTTCCTTTCTCTTTCTGTGTCGTTAAAATTCTAATCGAAATGAAAATAATTTCCATTTCTTGTTTTTCTGGTGATACACAACACACTGATCTACAGTCACACAACTAACATATACGCAGCTCATGAAAAATGACATTTTGGTTACACACTAGTAAACACAGACATTGTGACCAATATCACACAAATGTTCATGGGCCTGTACAGATACACACATTACATTGTGGATATAATGATCATGTAATATGGGCTGGGCTCCTCATAAGCTGCTTCTGTGGTGATGAACTGACCCACCGATGCCTCATGGGGACCAGGTTGATATCTCTGATTGCGCTTGCTGAATAACTGTAAGGTAGAGCTGTTTAATGTCATACTGTGGAACATTCCAGGCAGAGCAGTGACAGATCCATAGAAACAAGCAGGTGGTGGACCCCCAACCAAAAAGTTTCACAGTGCACCTTTAAACACTCTTCTAATCTTGTCATCTTGGTGGAATCCTCGTCACATTTTCCACAAAAGTCCTGCAGTCTGTATTTATATTTTTCACCCAAACGAGACCATTATGAGCTCAGATTCGTCAAGGTCGCGCCCTCTTAGCATTTGTGAGAATCGGCCAGAAGTAATGAGCAATTCTGTTTTATCGTCTCAAATTTACTGTTGAAATGCATAATAGATTAGGTGGAATACAGTGGGATTGTAAAATGTGTGTCTGACGAGAGGAGATAAATCTGAAGCATAATTCTGTAGTGAGATTCTGTTTTCCTCGGTAATGTTTCAGTTCTGGGCTCATCCTGGTTTAGTCCAAGGTTCATCGCTGGTTTAATCAGGAGTCAAGTCCTTGTATAGTCCCTGCTAGGTTCTGGTTTAGTACAAGGTGTAGTTCAAGGTTTAGTCCCTGGTTTAGCCCTGATTTAATCTTTCATAGTCCTGGTTTTGTTCATGGTTTAGTCTTTGCATAGTCCTGATTTAGTTCCTGGTTTAGGACAAGGTTTAGTTTGTCTTTGCATAGTCCTGGTTTAGTTCCTGGTTTAGGACAAGGTTTAGGCCAAGGTTTAGTCTTTGAATAGTCCTGGTTAAGTCCCTGGTTTAGTTCCTGGTTTAGGACAAGGTTTAGGCCAAGGTTTAGTCTTTGAATAGTCCTGGTTGAGTCCCTGGTTTAGGCCAATGCTTAGGCCAAGGTTTAGTCTTTGCATAGTTCTGGTTTAGTCCCTGGTTTAGGCCAAGGTTTAGTCTTTGCATAGTCCTGGTTTAGGCCCAAGGTTTAGTCTTTGAATAGTCCTGGTTTAGTCCCTGGTTTAGGCCAATGCTTAGGCCAAGGTTTGAGTCTTTACATAGTCCTGGTTTAGTCCCTGGTTTAGTTGAAGATTTAGTATTTGCATAGTCCTGGTTTAGTCCCTGGTTTAGGCCAAGGTTTAGTCTTTACATAGTCCTGGTTTAGTCCCTGGTTGAGGCCAAGGTTTAGTCTTTGCATAGTCCTGGTTTAGTCCCTGGTTTAGTCCCTGTTTAGTCCCTGGTTTAGGCCAAGGCTTAGGTCAAGGTTTAGTCTTTACATAGTCCTGGTTTAGTCCGTGGTGTAGGCCAAGGTTTAGGCCAAGGTTTAGTCTTTTAGTCCTGATTTAATCTTTGCATAGTCCCTGGTTTAGTCCCTGGTTTAGTCCCTGGTTTAGTCCCTGTTTAGTCCCTGGTTTAGTCTTTGCATAGTCCTAATCACCCATATCACAACAGAAATGTGGTCCTGAGAGGATAGAAAACTGAAGTATAATTCTTTGTGAGATCCTGTTTTCCTCGGCCCTGTTTCAGTGGAGGAGGAAGAGGCGAGTTCTCCAGCCTGTGAGTCATTTGGAGAGGAGTCAGAGTCATTTATTAAAGTAGCCAAAAAGCCAAATCATTTTCATTTGTTTGTAATTAATGAATAAACAACAAGGTTTATGTGCCGCTAGGGGATTTGATAATCTTCTAGTGTAATTGATCTAATTAAAGGTGCACTTAGTAACTTATATATTATGCAAGGACAAGCAGGTGGCGGTTTGAACGCTTCGCCTGCCTCTCACCATGGAGATGTTATTGCTTTGCCTGAAATGTTCCATGGTATGACTTTAAACACATCCATCTAGCATTTATTCATTACAGGTGTTTCTGTCACTCAAAAATACAATAATTCCTTTTGTGAATCGGGGCGTCTCCACAGATCTGAACAACTGTAATGTAGCGTAGTGCTGTAACCTGCTTGTCTCCCTTGATACCTAAATACATTTATTCAGTAGACATTTCAAATTGCCGCTGAGTATTCTAAGATGAAAAAAGTAGATTTACCACTATAATCCAACCCCTGTAGAAATAATGTCTGGTACTCAAAACAAAGTACTCGTTTTGGAAAAAGTGGTATCAGTACATTCCTAGAAATTATTGCGACAGGCCTATTAGTCAGAATTTTTGGATTATTTGTTTTAACTCTATTCCAATGCTTTGTGCAAAAATTACAATTAGATATCATATTTTTCCATAATTGTTCATTTCTTAAAGACTTCTATTCCCCGTTTTGTGAATGTGTGTAGTATGGACAGAGGAGCTCATTCTCCACTCAAACAGTGAGAGATACAGGACTACTTTCATACTATAATACTCCCTACAACTGTACAACAACTCACCCTTATGTAACCGATAATACACCATAAAACTGCACAACAACTCACTCTTATGAAACAGATAATACTCCCTACAACTGTACAACATCTCACGCTTATGGAACAGATAATACTCCCTACAACTGTACAACATCTCACGCTTATGGAACAGATAATACTCCCTACAACTGTACAACAACTCACCCTTATGTAACAGAAATACTCCCTACAACTGACAACAACTCACTCTTATGAAAAGATAATACTCCCTACAACTGTACAACATCTCACGCTTATGGAACAGATAATACTCCCTACAACTGTACAACAACTCACATTTATGTAAACAGATAATACTCCCTACAACTGCACAATGCACCCTTATGAAACAGATAATACTCCGTACAACTGAACAACTCACCATTACGTAATAGATAATACTCCCTACAACTGTACAACAAGTCACCCTTATGGAACAGATATACTCCCTACAACTGTACAACAACTCACATTTATGTAAACAGATAATACTCCCTACAACTGTACAACAACTCACCCTTATGGAACAGATAATACTCCCTACAACTGCACAACAACTCACTCTTATGAAACAGATAATACTCCCTACAACTGTACAACATCTCACGCTTATGGAACAGATAATACTCCCTACAACTGTACAACAACTCACATTTATGTAAACAGATAATACTCCCTACAACTGCACAACGCACCCTTATGAAACAGATAATACTCCGTACAACTGAACAACTCACCATTACGTAATAGATAATACTCCCTACAACTGTACAACAAGTCACCCTTATGGAACAGATAATACTCCCTACAACTGTACAACAACTCACATTTATGTAAACAGATAATACTCCCTACAACTGTACAACAACTCACCCTTATGGAACAGATAATACTCCCTACAACTCATATTTATGTAGCAGATAACTCTACGTCCTGTCAATCATCATATCATCTTTATCGTGAGATTTTTTATGACTTATTTTCTATTTTATTTTGTCTTGTACATTTACATTATATAATTATGTCTTATTTGACACCTGTCTCTTGCTCTTTTTTGCTGCTTATTTAGAATTTATTATTAACATTTATATTTTTTACTCTTTGTTATTATAATATGAGCTACTGTGCCCAAATAATTTCCCTTGTGGATCAATAAAGTCCAAGTCTGGTTATAATCCTAAGCTGTGTCTCTAGTGTTTTCGTATCCTCTCCAGATGCTAGTTTGTCCTTGTCACTGTTCGGCTCGGGGCCGCTGTGGTGAAATGGTCTGTTTCTGTATTTTTATGTTTTTATTTCTGTTTTTTTCAGTCTTTGGTGAAGCAGCCGCTGTCTCGGCGACGGGCTCTGCTCCATGAGAGTTTTTCTGAAGTGGAAGGAGAGTTTGTTTTCGCCAAGTCCATCGACTCGGACAATACTGACACCATCGCGGAGTTCCTGGAGCAGTCTGTGAAAGGTGAGGGGAAAGAGGAGGAGAGCAGAGACTCATACAGATAAGTGTGCTCTCTCCTCTGAATAAATACAGATAACAGCGTTCACATGGGACTGTTAAAGGGACATCACAGGACCAGCTGGTCCTCAGACATGAACAACAGAAATAGAACTGTCCGAACCTCCCAAAGAATTAAAGAGACATCTGCGACACAAACACTTGATTATTTAAAGGTGTACTATGTAACTTTTTGGTTGGGGGTCCATCACCTTCTTGTTTCTATGGAGATGTCATTGCTCTGACTGGAATGTTCTACACTATGATATTAAACAGCTATACTTCACATTTAGTAAAATACAGGAGGTTTTACTGCTCAAAAACAGGCATTGTGACTGTTAGCAGGGTCACCTCTCCACAGATCTGACCTGTAACTTGTAGGGATGTAACAATAACCGAAATATCGTGATATCGTATCGTCAAAAGTCTCACAATAATATCGTGGGCTGTCACAATATATTGAATTACAAGTTCTGTAGCATCCAGTCGAACTGAGAAGGCCAGAACGGATGGTTAAATGACTTTTCATCTTTTCCTTGCCGTGTCATAGAACCAAAGTAAGAGCTAGACAGGAACAAAACAGGAATTACCACATGATTACCGTATCACGAGCTCATTACACAATTTAACCGTTATCCATATTTTAGCATTAATTCAGTACAAATTACAAGAAGCTCAAATATACATTTACAAATGAAACAAACCTTGTTCCCCTGTTGACTGTTGCTATTTTTAGGTTTTTTATCTAACTTTTCACTGTTTTTTTTAAAAAAAATGTTTTATTATTATTATTTTTATTAATGGTTTGTACAAGTCAATTACATTGGAAGCCAAATTGTTAAGAAAAATAGAGCACTTTTTGTACAAACACAATCTATGTTACTTGACATGACTTTTTTTTTTTTCCCCTCCCTTCTTAAATAAAAACACAGGAGTTAACAAATACACAAAAGAACCAAAAAACACTTATTATTTACTCATTATTTTTTTAAAACCTTGTCTCCTCTCCTTACTTCCTTTCTGTTAGACAACTAATTCAGGCAAAATCGGGTCTCAAAACAGTTATATATTGGATCCACTTCTGCCAAAACACATGAATATTTTTATTTTGAAGTCTCAGTGACATTGTATGTCTTTCCATCCGAAATATTTCATAAACAGTGTTTTACAACTCTTCAATTACTGGTACCTCAGTTTGAAGCCATTTTCTTGTCAATGTTTACTTTGCTGATAATAAAATAGGTATTTGTCTGCTACCGTAGTGACATTTGGGATCTCCTGGCCTAAGTACATATATATGAAGTCAAAGGGAACATTGAAGCCAAAATTTTTGTTTTTTCAACGTTAACATTGCTGTGTTTACTTTGCGTCTTTTGTGTATACCAGGCTAATGTTTTTACCATAACTTCCGCTCAGACAGGAAGTTACCAAAATAAAAGTGTATCCTTACTATTAAAAGCCAAGGACGATAAGAGCTAACTTGACCTTTACAAGTTCCCTAAATGTAATGTAATGTAATGTTGCTTAATTATAGTAGCAACAGCTTATAAACATCAGAAACTACATATCCCATGAAGAGATATATTTTTTACTTGAATTCTTTGGATTATGTCAGAAATATTTCATACCAAAATCTTATCAAAGTATTTTAAAAGCAAAAAAAAGTGTCCTATCTGCAATTATATTAACCTCAAATCAATAGCGCAACAAATATCGTACCGCGAGATGCATATCGAGATAATAACATACCGAGAGATTTGGATATCGCTACATCCCTGGTAACTTAGTCTTGTTTGGTCTCCATGAAGAGTTTAAAGGTTTAATACCATAACTGTGAAGCACTCCAGACAAAGCAATAATGTCTGCATGGAGAAAAGAATTTGATAGACCCTCCACCAGAAAAGTTACACAATACACCTTTAAAGCCACAGTATGTCACTTTACTACAAAAAGAAACATGTTTTTGGGGCCCAACTCATATTTGGATTAGAGAAAGATCCCTCTCTGCTTGTTTCTGTGGAATTGTTCCTTTGGTTGTAATATTCCACAGTATGGCATAAAACTGATTTGTCTCCATGTGGAATGTTTCGACGTATCGTTTTAACTTTCTACTTCCATGGAATCATGGAGATTCCAGAAAGTCACATAATGTACAATTTTTTTGTAAGAATTTTTGTTTAATTTGATATGGATAGTGCTAGACATAGACCGTATTATAGAAGTGGATTAAAGGAGTGTGACGTCATCCATGGTGTTCAGGCGCAACCAAATGAAGCCCATTGAGGGTAGCAGTTATTGTGGCTAATCTGCAACTAGGAACCACGTTTGGAAATCCCACTGTGAAACCAAAGAGCCAATCAGGAGTGAGACTGTTGAAGGTGCACGCCCCCTTCCACAGGGACCAAGTGCTTAACAACAACCCCACATTCTACCATTAACCATTTATTTCAGAATGGACATCTTTCAGCATTCACAGGTAGATTTCTTGCATAACAGTTTTACATATATACACTATACATTTTTCCCCCCAGATTCCTGTGAAGGTCTGATGGTGAAGACTCTGGAGAAGGATGCAACTTATGAAATTGCCAAAAGATCTCATAACTGGCTCAAGGTGAGTTTGTGTGACAATTAAAATGTGTATAAGTGACATAATATTCAATAATCTATAGTTACATACTAGCTTTGGAGAAGTAAACAGATTCATAATAAAGGGTTACTCAAACATGTGTGAATGAAAAGCACACAGGTGTGTTTTTGAGGAGGTACATTATATCATGACTTGGAGGCAATTTTGTGTAATATAGGATCTTTTTCACAAAAACTTCATAAAGTGGTACCGTTATTCAACCTCAAAAATGAGTGAAAGTGAGTCATAAAATTGTTGTGGAGCCAATCCCAAACAAATACAGATGGACTTTTTTTCAACCAAAATGTGATGAGACATGACTCAACTGAATACATTTTCTTTCAGGAGCTGGAAAACATTTATTCTTAAGTTTGTCTCCTGCATTTCCAAATTAAATAAATATTGACGAGTCAATGTTTTTTGCATCATTCGGTCTGTCACAATAATCACTATATCGTCACGATAATCACTATATCTTAATATATGAAAGCTGTAACAATATATTTATATATTTTGGGCCTCAGTATTTATTGTGGGCAGTTTCTTTGCTCTAGTGTTTGATATTTTAGTTATTTTAGTTGTGATACAGGTTGAATGAGTGATGTCTATTGCTTCATTCAGCTATTTTTATTTGCTTAATTATACGGTCTGTTTGAAAAGGGTTTACTGGGATTATCCTGCTTTATTGTTTTTGTGTCTGTGGCATAAAGTAGGATCAACATAATTGAAGAATTACCTACATTTGAATTTATTTTATAGGAATGCCCCCATCTCATGGCACATATATAAAAATGAAAATAAAAAGGACAAACTAAAAGTAGAGATGTGCTTAATTCAGATGATTCTGATCAAGAATCTGCCAATACCCAGTATCAACTGATACTGTTACAAGTGCAGAGCATTTATTTCCTTTAAACAAAAATATTACTAGACTAAACTGATCCAAATGTTACATCGCTTTGCATGTCAAACCAGATATTTGGTGTCTATACAAAGAATGACCAAAACACTTTAAAAAGTTGATAGTATTTGACTAAAACTCTGTGCTGGTTTCTGGTCACATTTACTGTGGTTTCCCTCCAGAAACTCCATTTTCAAAAAAGTTTAGCTGGTTCGTTTGTGTTCTGTAACTGTGATTGTGATGTTTTGTATTCTCTCAGTTGAAGAAGGACTACCTGGACGGCGTTGGAGACACTGTGGACCTGTGTGTGATTGGAGCATATCTGGGGAAAGGGAAAAGGACCGGGACCTACGGCGGCTTCCTATTGGCCTGTTACGACGAGGAGAACGAGGAGTTTCAGTCTGTCTGCAAGGTACCAGTCTGAGATTATGTGCAAAATATTGCATAGCTCACAAGGGGACTGTTTTTAAAATGTCATGTTTTGCAATTGGCAATAGAAGCCATGGATTTTGGGCTTACTTGCTGCTACTGCTTTGTTGTTTTCATACTTGTAGAACATACATTTTAAATTACAGATGCCCAAAAGAAGTAATGCTGCGGACATGTTTGCTTGATCTTAAGAGGAAGTCAGTATTAAAGAAAGCATATTGTTCTTGTGTGTGCTCTATACTTATTATCTATGACACCTGTAGGTTATTATTAGGGTTGTTCCAAAAGCTCTGATACTGCACATTTTTCAGGTATTGGTATCGCCGAGTACTCAGACCAAATCACCGCGCTGATACCACTGTGTATGAATGAGGAGCTGTAGATGCGAGTAGCTGCTGTTTACGTCGGTGGCTAATGCGACCACTAATGAACAGGGCAGATTAAATACAAACTGTGGAGGCTCTGTAAAACACTTGAATAATAGTCAGAATAACAGAAAAGACATTTGTTACTCTTTGATGCCTTCATTTAGCCTTTGGTGCGGATGCCAAGTTTGGTAAGATAACTGGGAGAGTGCAGCCAGAGAACAACGGCAACAGCGACAGTGCTAATACAGACGTTGTTGACTCTGCATGATTAGCCATGTGCTCCGAGAATGAGCGGCTTTTTACACTCCTCACTGTTGTTTTTATCCGCACTGTGATAGAAAGTGAACCTGCTTAAATCAGCTTAACTCAACACTGCTTATCCTCAAGATCATTATACATTTCACCAATATTTTAGTCCACAAAATCTTATTTATTCTTGCATTTCTTTAAAATAACCTTGTATATAAAAAAATTAGGAGTACTTCTTCACACTAGGCTATCAGACTAGTATCAGTATCGGCGAGTACACCAAGGCCAAGTACCTGTATTGGATCGAATCCCAAAAAATGATATCGGAACAACACTACCGTATTTTCCGGCCTGTTAGGCGCTCTGGATTATAAGGCGCACTGTCATTAAATGGTCTATTTTCAAACTTTTTTCACAAATAAACCGCACCGGACTTTAAAGGAAACACAACAGATGGATGGGTGAGTGGGACTTTGTTTGGTGCGTTCACTGAGACTCTGGGCTTTGTTCAGTTGTGGCGTGTAGGGAGGGTGCTGTCTGGGACCGCTGGATTGTCAGCGTGTTCACAGTGACTCAGTTGTTCAGTTGTGTCTACAAGTGGCACGTTGCACTCGCTTTTTCGGTTCGTTCCTCCGTTCCATTCCTTGTCAACATGGAGTGATGGCTGCGGGTGTTTTTCACTGCGCGGTCTCTGTCTGCTCCGTGTGTGTTTGCGGCTTTGTAGTTTACTGAAGTCGTGCTGGGACACCTGAGTGGATTCGTGTATAGGGTGCTCTGGTTTGCGGGGCACGCGGTCGTTTTTTGGTAGGGTTAGAGGCTTAAGAGCGTGCCTAATAGCCCGGAAATACGGTAATTATTATGTTTTAAGTTGGATATTTTAAATCACAATATTGATCTAAAACAACTTAATAACCGAAACAAGTGACTTCCACGTTAGAAAACTGTGGTGTCCAATGGGAGTTGACGTCACTGTAAACGTCAGCACAACAAAGCGCTGCATGTAGTGGGCTCCTCCTGTGGATAGCTGCACATCACACTAGAGCAGAGTATTTTTTTATGTTTGGACCAAAATTACTACATGACGCTGACGAATCCTAGGTGTATCACAGATTAAGAAAATAAAATTAGTCACAGTGAGCATGTACCGATGGCAATGAAAATAGAAGTTGATTAGTAAAATGGCGCCTTGAAAGTAAGTGATTAAAGATGACTCAAACATGCATAAATCACTCCAAATACAACTTCAGACAGTCAATGAGAAGGAAAACAACTATAGCATGGGTAAAAGCTCTATCCATCCTGCATAATAGGTCTGCATTAAATGTTAGAAAAAGGACGCCTGATCAAAATTCCATTAGAGTCGTATAGTAAAATATTAAAGCTGTATTTCTGGATAAGTTTCTCTTTGAGACAGTTGCAGGGGTATTTTGAGTTTGCTGATTAGATGTTTGCTGTGACAACACGATAGAAACTCCACCAGAAATAGTTTTATTACTTTTCTGAATGCTCTGTTTTGACAACCTCATATCAGACCTCTCCTTTTCATCCTGATCTCAAAAATACATGTTTTCTTCTCACTCTTGATATAGAAACCTCTCCATGGATCGTGTTTTGTAGCTTTAGATAACTTATAGAACTGATTTTCTGAGCAGTTAGTCGCATTAGAATATTGTTTTCTTAAGAAAACTGGAGTTGTGTTTTAATAGTTTAAAGGTGCACTGTGTAAGGGTCCGTCTTCTGCTTATCTCCATGGTGATGTGCCTAGAATGTTCCACAGTATAGCCATAAACGTAAGAAAATTCTCTGCTCCACCGTGTGATGTCATGAAGTGGTTGTTTAGTTCAGTAGAGACTGAGTAGAGATAATTCCAGGGCTGAAATGATCTAAATGATTCTAGCGAAGGTGTGTGGAGTTTAAAAACACAGTGGTGCACTTCCTGAATTTACCACATGACATCACAAGGTGGAACAAAGTGTTTTCAGTGCTTGAATAATGCCTGATATCGGACCTTGAATGTAACTTGCATAAACAGTAAATATCCATTACGTGTCCCTTCTGTTTGTTAGAAATACGTCACCAGACTTTCCCTTTTGGTCTGAGGCATCGACTCAGATCTAAAGTTACATAGAGACTGAATAACAAGCCCCGATGCGCACCGCCATGTTTGACAAATATTTGTCAACCTTTGTTATTTAATCTGTCTTGTTGTTTTTGTATCAAATACTGATGTAACAATGATGTAATAATGATACTACTACCAACTTCCTACTACAGTTAAGACGTTGGTAGTAGTACTATATGTGTATGATGAAAAATAGTAAAAGTAATGGCAGTAGCAGTAAGAGTAGGAGTAGTAGTAAAAGTAAATTGGAACTAACTTGTAGTAGTAGTAAAAGTAAATTGGAACTAACTTTGTAGTAGTAGTAAAAGTAAATTGGAACTAACTTGAAGTAGTAGTAAAAGTAAATTGGAACTAACTTGAAGTAGTAGTAAAGTGGAAATAATAGTAGTAGTGGTAAAAGTAAATTGGAAATAATTTGAAGTAGTAATAGTACATTGAAAATAACTTGAAGTAGTAGTACTAAATTGGAAAAAATATGTTGTAGTTGTAGTATTAAATTGGAAATAACTTGTAGCTGTAGTAGTAGGTGTAAATTGGAAATAATTTGTAGGTGTAAATTGGAAATAATTTGTAGTTGTAGGAATAGTAGAAGTTCAAAGCTGTCACAAGTAGCAGTAGTTGTAGTAGGGGTACTGTAATGCTTGTAGTATTAGTAGTAAGGCAGTGGAAGTATCTCATAGTACTTAAGTGTGCTGTTGGCGGTTTGTAGGATTCTGAAATAAAATATATGAAATATTGATGTATCAAATGCCATTACAAAACAGAATTGAGAGTAGCAGAAAGTTAATAGTAGTAGTAGTTTGTAATAGTTGTACATGTTGAAAGTTTCATGTAGTAGGTGGTGTAGCAGTTGGAGTAGTCATAGTGGGACAGTGTAGTGTAAAATTTCAAAGTCTATTTCGATACTAAGGAATACACTCTATACCGATTCTGATACTATGACCATGATTAAAAAAAACAAACAAAAAACATGTCATTTTCAACATTAAATCACAATACTTTCTTTATTACTTCCTGTTGCCTTTTATCTGTGTAATCTTTCAGTGGTCCAGGTAGGTCATAGTTGTAAAATATGTTGTTGGTGGCTGGTAATATTTTGAAGTAAAGTATAAGAAATAGTAGTTGTAGTAGTAATACCTGTGTTGGTAATAGTAGTTGTAAAGTATGTTGTTGGCAACTGGTAGTGTTTGTGTCTGATTTTTAGATGATTTTTGTTAATTGGGCGATATTTTTTTTGTTGGGTTTCTAAGTTTTAATTTTGATTTGTGTTTCTTTGTGCTTTTTAACAATAGCTCCTGTCAACAATGTTTGGCCTATTCTAATCTTGGAAGCACCTGTCCCCGAAAACATGCATTTCCAATTTCATGTTTTATTCTTTTTATTACTGCCAACTATAAACTTGTTTTATTGGGAATACAAAAAGTAATCCTCTAATACTGTGGTGAAAATCAATGCATTTTAAACAGTGGCAGAGTGGTTGTTCTGTCTCTTCCTCTCAGTACGGAGGTTGTGGGTTAGACTCTAGATCTCCAATGCTCAAAATGTCATGTCATGAAGCGATAGTTTTCAAGTTAATGGCTACTTTTTACCATTTGTTCAGCACAGGTGGCAAATCCAGTGCTGAAATTACATTCTAAAAATAACCCGCGATAGGTGAAATCCGCGCAGTCAACATTATATTTTACAATTATTATATCTGTTTTAAGGCTGTAAAACCACACACTATTTACACTTTTCTCACACATTACAGTTAACCTTTTTGCATCCTTCTTAAAACTTATTGCTGCTGTCGTCCTTTTGTTATTTTTGTCCTTTATGTAACGAACCAAAGATTCATTTATTCTGTAATGGAGCCCTAGATCAGAGTACTGCACGGGTTTTTGGAGACTCGCACCCACGCAATAGAGCACCGCACCGGCCCGTTAACCAGAGATTATATCAAACTTTTGCACTGCCTATGACCATGGACTGAACCAAGACTAAACCAGGACTAACCTAGGACTGGTTCCAGGACTGAAACAGGAGGACTAAACCAGGACTGAACTAGGACTAAAACAGGAGTAAACCAGGACTAAACCAGAACTGAAACAGCACACACTGTCGGGATGGGCTCGGAGGTGACCGCAAGAGAAAGGACCTGCTCACCTTCGCACCTCATGGAGGTAAACGCGGCCATCGCCTGATCGCTCTTTGTGGACACTCTGCTTCGGTATTCTCACTCTTAACTCCAAGATTAGTCCTGAT